AAAGGCAGGACAGATCTATTACAAGAGCTTTTATTGTTTTATTTTAGAGATAATACGTTTGACGATACTTTCACGATTAACGAGACGATACGAACGGTTCCTAATGCACGAATTCAAATCTAAGTTAATGAGAATCTTAATGAATACGCTCGTGCAATATCTTGAAAAAGATGAAACGACGTAGATTCGACTGCTCGATGGGTTTAGTGTTAATCTCTAATTCCAGTTTCTAATTCTAATTCTAAATTATTGAAAATTTCAATAAATATACTCGTACAATATCTCAAAAAGATGAAACGAAATCGACTGTTTGATGGTTTTAGTGTTAATTTCTAATTCCAGTTTCTAATTCTAATTCTAAATTATTGAAAATCTCAATGAATATACTCCTATAGTATCACGAGAAAGATGAAACGAAGTCGATTCGACTGCTCGGTGGTTCTAGTATTAACTTTTCAAAAGCAATTTTCATGTGAAATGGATTTTCTGAATAAATTGTACAGCACAAACGATTCAGAACTTGCCTCTATCGATCCCCAGCGAAATTTCGCGAGAAATTAATCTGAGACGTAACGATGGCTTATTGCCAAGTCAACGGCAGCAGTTATGGAGGACAAGAAATCTGGCACCGAGTGTTTGAAAGCCTTTGAGGAATTACAGGCCCTATACGCGTACTTAAGCGGGAAGCAGTAGACAAAAGGGCGTCCTGATGGACAGTAATTACGTGCCGGAATGTAGACGCTTTTACGCTATATTGCTCCACTAAAGAAAATACATTTTCGACGCGGCGCGCTCCGGATAACGCCGTGATTCCTTTTAACATGCGCGAGATACTAAATTCAATGCATCGAGTCGTTCCATAAATAATGTCGCCTCTCTCGTGGTAACTTTTACTGGAAAAATTCATGCTTGTATCTACTTTTAATCGTTTCACTGTTCTTCATCGGTGGACCACGGATTTTTAATGTGTTTTTAATACTGAAATTATTATAAGGTACAAAGTGACTCATTCGTGATTTCTTCATTTTGCAATTATTATAAAGATGAGAGATGTTCCTCTGGGGAATTATTGAAGAATTTGATTTGGCAATAGTCAAAATGAATTGAGAATCGATTAAAATAACGTTATATGCATTTTTGAAGGTTCTATGGAGGAATTTTGGAAAGTCCATTTAATTGCTTGGTGGTTTTAGTGTTAAAGACTTTGAAAACGAAATGCACAACCAAAATGTATTGATTGTTTATGACATTAGTTTAGAAACACTATTTTCAATTTTAATTCGATGTTTGTAATAATATTCTTAATATTTTCTATTTTTATACAAATCCGGGTTCTAATTAATTGTACAGACAAGATAAAAGTAATTTGTGTTGTTTTTATATTTTTCACGGATATCTTTATCACCGTATTATTATATATTTTATGAAATTGCGTTTCGCTGCCAGTCATATCGGATGCGTTTATTTACTATTGATAACAGTAATAATGAGCGAAATAAAAATAAAACCACTGAAAACGGATTTATACGTATAATACAAATAAATACTGGACGAATCGAGATACGTGCATTGAAATCGTGTGATTTTTTTATTGCTGATGCTGCTATTTCTGCCTCGACAGTGAAGGAATCAATATCTTCGACCAAATCGTTTAAAAATGTATTCAGGCGTGAAATATTCACAATATTCTAGATTCTATTTTCAATTTTAGTTTCGACTTCTCGAGAATTAATTATCGAATAATCAGACTAAATTAATACATCGACATTTATAAAATATTCTGCAACCCTCGAAGTCAATGATCAGGAAATAAAAATCAATTAAAAAATTAACCACCCTCTCGCATTATACATTTGTTTCTTTCTCCAAAAGACGATCACGTGCATATAGTTCAACAATAAATGCCATAATAAAGTACAAAGACATTAAATTGCCAGTTAAATTCACTTCTAGATTGAAAACTGATTAGAACCATCTAATTCCGGTAATGAATCCGAATGAAATTCGGCTAACTTCGTCCAATCATCAACTGCTTCTCCAATCCTCAATTACAAAGTTAAGAATTCCAAACGAAATTAGTCCAAACCCATAATATTTCAATAAAACACCTAAATCTTCCAAAACGCTCTGAATTTATTCGGACAAGTGTACCGTCCGTTGCAAGGAACCTGACACTCGCGTTTGAATGGTCAGATTCGATGACGCACGCCTGATTGGCCGAGGTGCTAACGCCCACCAATCGAGTCACACGACGAACAGTGGGGAGCGCTGCCTCCGGACTCGCGATTGGATTCTCGGAGCGACTGTCTCCGCCCCTATGACGTCACAAGCATCAGGTTCAGTGCAACCGGCGGTACTCGAGTTTAACTCAATGCAAACCGTCGCTAAAAACATCAGACGCTTTCCCCGATAACGATACAATCAGAAAAATGCTACATTCGTGTAGACAGCGGCGATTTTCATCGGCATTCAAAGGTAAACGACGACGGAACGTCGAAACCGAGCATTCGAACGATTGAAAACCATTTATTCGCTTAAATGGCTCGCGCGTGCATCAAGCGCTGAGATACCCCAGATTCGCCGGTTCCCTCGGGCCGGCTGTTAAATGCGAAGGAAAATCGTCGGCATTAAAAGATATTAATACAATCCGTCGAGAGTGACTCGGTAATTAAATGATAAAACGGTGGAGGTCGAAACGCGGTTTCCTCGCGGGCTAAACGAAGAGATTCAGGAATAGTGACAACGCGTTGCCGTCTTTTTTGAACTCGGCGAACGTTCCTCAAAGCGACGTTAAGGGGCGAGTGAAAGAGCGGTCGGTCACGTCGCCTTAAAAATTGTGGAAACGGTGGGAAGAAGTCGCCGGGAAGGGCGAGAGAAGAGGGGAAGCTGGAAGTTCTGCGGTAATGCCTGCAGAAAAGTGGCCGCGGGAAGGACGCGGCGCCGGGAAAAACGATTGCCAAGAGAGGCGTGTATGATAATGCGAAATAGCCGGCATTATCTCCGCGTAAATCACGTAAAAAGAGGTTTGAAATCTGGAGGCTCCATCTTTCGGCCCCGATTATAAATGTCTTTCTTCTTGTTGCTCCATTCACCGCCACCGTTCGAATGTTCCGTGGAAATTATAGCGGCGCCTATTTCTGCCCCGTCTTTCATTAACATAAACAATGTAGATCACCCGGGCCAAATGTTTTCGACACACGCGAGCCACCCGCAAAGTGACTTATCTGCTGGACGAATAGTTGGATTACGCTAGAAAATATTGAGGATTGATGTGCATGAAAGTAATTAAACGTACTGGCGTCTTTGCTAGCGTAACCGGTCGAGTAACTGGCTACCAAGTAAAGGTGAACCAGTTGAGCGATACACTTGTTTTTTAGTGGAAACAGAGAAAGAGGGACTGACGTTGAAGGACTGATTAATTGGACTTACCGTGGTTTTAAAACTGGGCCGGGTTTCTTTACTACTGTTACATATGATTTACTCGTCTCGAATCGTAAACTAATCGAAGAGACGTGCTGAGTGCTTAGCGTAGCGACTTGGGATGATTTCTTGAATAATTATATAATTTTAATAACTATTTGAATGATTATCTAATGTATATATAGATAACTTTGTAATAATTGTCCGAAAATAAATAGTTCTAAGTCACGACGATGAGGAAACGAACCTAGGTTTTTCAAAATTTCCCAGTCTAAGACACAAAACGGATACAACCACCACCAATGACAAAACACAACTTTCCTCCACCCAAAACTGCAATTGACCAATCCTGCAAAGCCCAAGCTTAGATAAAATAACACATAAAATAACACACTACTCAGACAGAACTCCACAAACGCGCAACTTTCACAAACCTCACGAAACCGAACTTCGTACGAAAGTCCTCAAAATCCGTGAAGTTACAACAAAGTGTGTTTTTCACACGAACATCTCGCCGTGTGTCATTCCGTCTGTGCTTGTTACGACAACGTAACACCAATACTTGGTTGTCTTTTCTACAGAAAATTCTATTAGTATACACAGGGTGTCCCGCCACTCATGGTCAACCGATTAGGTGGTCATTCTACGTGTAAAACTAAGTCGAAGAAATAGAATAAAATTTGTTCTTGCGAGTCTTCGTCTTCGAGAAAATCGAAGTCGAAAATTTACTCGGTACATGTCGGCTTTGTGCATCTCACTGTACACTCTTGTTTTGATTCTTATTTGTATTCAAAGACATAGTAATGACAAAGTGCGGATACTGCTCTTGATACAAACGCGAAGCGGCACTCAAATTACCTTCGCACGCTTCGAGTGCGAGAATCATATCCGTATACTCACTATTCGAATAAGCTGCCATATTGAGAAACTGTTAGATGCTGAATAATTGTACTGCTAATAAAACAGCACGAACGATAAACTATCAACCGAGGTCATTACTATGTTTTTAACCCTTAGCAGTCCTATGTCGAATTAGACTCGACATTCTATTTTATTGCAACCTCTACCTGTTTTAACAAGTTTTTCTATATTTATTTGTAGTATCACAATTGTAACATTTAAAGGTAACATCTCAATGACTCCCAAATATTCTTGAATAAATAAATAGAGCGTCATATTAAGCTCCAATTGGATGAACTAACGTCGACGTGAACCTCAAAGTGAAAAACCAAGAGCACTTCGGACCGCAAAGGGTTAAATACAAATAAGAATCAACAAGAGTATATAGTGAGATGCACAAAGTCGACATGTACCGAGTGTACACGTATCGAGTAAATTTTCGATCTCGATTTTCTCGAAAACGAAGACTCGCAGGAGAAAATGTTATTCTTTCTTTTCGGCTCATTTTTACATGTAGAACGTCCTCCTAATTGATTGACCATGACTCGCGGGACACCTTGCATAATATACATAAAGCGTATTTACGCGATTCTCATTCCCGTAAAACGAATCCGCGTGCAGATACAATATGTAAATAAAATAAAGTGTACAGAACGTAAGGACAAAGTTGTATCACTTACCCAGCAAAAAACATGAGGAGGAACCACGAGCCAGGCACAGCGACTACCAGTATCGCGTCTTCCGCGTCCCTGTTGCCAGCGAGACGACACGGAATGCAGGCGAGTATCAGCAGGTTACTGATCACAAATATCAGCTTGGCTGGTTCGTGACTCTGAAAAGTCAATTATTCGATTGTTGGCAAAACATTAGAGCCGCGTACTGTCCGCAAACGATATTTTTTCACGCCTTCGACGAACTGATGAGGCAAATGCAGCAAGGAGACATGGAGCACAGTTTGACAACGTATAATGAGAAGAAGCTAGACACAGTTCTCCATATTTCCTGATTTTTGTATATTTTAATATAATAAATAATATTCTCTCTAGTCAATGAACGATTCACTCGTTTCTTCTTTTGTTCCACAAAACCCTTCTTTTTGTAGCTTCTAAACATGTTAAAATAAAAACGATTAATCTTCTCAATGTTTTCTGGACTTAACATTGGCTTCTCGGTGACTCAGAATTTTATTTTTAAGGTCGACATACAAGTGTGAGAAAATTTAAAAAAATAGAAAGTCAATTGTATTCTGTGATTCATCTTTTTCGATAATGCTCGTATTTGGTAAGTGATTTTCCGTGTTGCGATAACGATGAACGTGCCACGTGGTTTTAACATTGTTAAGCTGCAGAATATTGCACATTCATGAACCAAGCATCAAGTAGAATCACCGTTGTTATGCAATGCACACATCCGTTGTTTTGACATAATATCAAAATCACAAAGAGGCGATCAACAGATGCCTTGTTTCAAAAACTGAGCATTCTACATATTCATGGGTGTAAAGAGGGATGAAGGTTGTATACCATACAGGATAGGGCGTGTAATTCAACTTATTTTAATATCAACAATTTATATACTCTCAAACGAATAAAAAATATAGTGCATTACATCTATAGAAGAACAGATTTCCTCTGTTATGTTCTCAATTTAACACGTTGAATGCACACTACAGTTCACTCAATTAAACGATGATTACTTGAAAATATTTCTATATTATAAATAACAGTAGCTAATGCAGTGACATTCAGCTAGATGAACGTGCAGTAATAATAATGCAATTCAATCAAATAATTGAATATTATATTTTTTCATGTTGTATATTTGCTCTGCTCTGCAAAGTTAAAACTAAAAATACGTTCCGCAATAATCATTTAACTCCCAATTCAAAGCAAAGCTCTGAAAATCATTGTACACCTATAATAAAAAATTAAAACACGTTCTAAAATAATCATTTAATTCTCCATTCAAAGCTAAATTTTGAAAATCCCCAAATTGTACACCTATAATAACAAAATAAAATACGTTTCAAAATAATCATTTAACTCTCAATGCAAAGCAAAACTCTGAAAATCATTGTACACCTATCGCATCACTTCCCACCGCTTTTCCTTTTACGGAGCTAATCGATTTGACAAGTGAGCCATTCAGGTTTCTTTCTGTTCCTACTGGTAATCCCTCGCTCTAGTTCACGAGTCGATGGTTTGCTTAACTTGTCTTCGATTCGAAATTATTCCTCTCGGCGGTAATCGGAGATCGAATGTCGAGAGGCCACGGAACGAGCGGGGTACCATTTCGTGATCGCAACTTTCACGGATAGGTCCGCGGAGTAGGAACAGGATCAGTACATACCAACTGTTTCATGAACGACAGCAGACCGATGTTGATGATCTCGCCGCCTAGTTGCACCAGAATGTAGCTCAACACGCCTACGATGGTGATGCACTCCGATATTGTACGAACAGCTTCCGTTATTTCTTCCGGCCATTTCAGGACAATGGCGGCCATATTGCTGGGCCTCATGTACACGGCCAGAGACAATGAGGCTAGGTGGAACACTAGGATGATCAGTCGCTTCAAGAACTGCAACTTTTATTGGAAAGGAAATAATGTTGTTTAGACCTTCACCTTTTGATATTCTTTTTTTTGTTCTTTGCACTCGAGAGATAACTCTCACTTATTATTTCATTTGATATACCGAAATTATAGAGTCTTATAAACAATATTAATACGTCGAATGCCATGGAGGTCACCGATGACTAATTTAAATCGAATTACAGTAGTGCGCTCACTTAAATGATTATTTGAAAAGATTTGTGTATTATAAATAATGCTAGCTAAGATCAGCTAGATGAACGTGCGATATTAATAATGCAATTCAATCAAATGATTTAATGTTATGTTTTTTTTTCCATTTTGTGTGTTCTGTTAAATGAAATCGTGCGAAGTTCAACGCGTTACGGTTCGTACAATGCACGAATGCGTGGAATATTGAAATAACAACTTTGTTTCTTAACAAAGAATGTCGTCTGTGACTCTTTGGAAAATGTTGAATATTTCTAATGAAAGATTCCCGAGTGTAAAGGATTAAATGAGTTGTTCGCTTGAGAATCATGGATATTTGCGTGTAGAAGCGAATAAAACTACTAACAGTAACCTTAGCCTAATAATTTTGCGAAGTATAAACTCGGTCGTAGTTTTCCGCTTCACACATAAACGTTCAAAACATAAAATCGAAGTTTTACGTGGCATCCAAAGGAATTTTTATTTTATTGAAATGCTACTATTAATTAAGAACTCCAATAGAAAAAGTTCTTTCCTGGTTTTCTTGAAGCGTGTTTTTGTTATTAGCTTTCTCTACACTACACGTATATTTTCTATTTGTTGAAGAGTTTGCAAAATCATGGGTGCATTATGTTTTTCAACGACCTCTGTAAGTTAAGAGATATTTTCTTGCAGTGAGCTCGGCAAACACAGAAAAGTAATATAATTGCATTAGCGAAACTAAAAACTACACTTTATTTCGACCAACTTCATTTCCCGTGAAGTCAGGACCGAAATTAGAAGCAAAATATGTAATTGATTACAGTACGGTCATTTCTTACATTGTAGGTATTAATTGCGAGAAGACTAAAATTCAGATAATTTATTCCTTACGATTTCAAACGCTTTCGTGGCACGTGTATTGTAAATAATTATATAATTAACTATACAATACATTCTACTTGTATAGTCATAGTTTGCTTAGTTTATTTTTACAGTTACATTGTTATAATTAATATAAAAAAATTGGAAATAAATCACTCCAATGCCTCGGTCATTTTAGTCTTAATGGTAATTATTCTTTATCATTTCAAACGCTTTCGTTGCACGTATATTCTAAATAATTATATAACTAACTATACTATATATTATACATATTATAATTACATAATTATAATTAATATAAAAAACTGGAAATAAGTCACTGCAATTGCTCGATTCTTTTAATGTTAACACGTTGACTGCCACGGTAATCACCGATGACCGGAGCTTCGAAATAACTTGAAAACAATTATAATTCATAAGATAATTGGCGTCGAATAAAAATATTCAATGACGCGAATAACTAAATAATATTGTAACGTAAGAATTGAGGTAGCAAATAATTAATAATTCTTCCTATTTATCTTTGTTACAAAGGTGTGAGTGGTACGTAAAACGCTCATGTTTTTCGTGGCAGTCAACGTGTTAATGATCATTTATTCCTTACCATTTCAAACGCTTCCGTTCCACGTATATTGTAAATATCAGTTGATACGCGTTCGTGTGCAGTGTTTTAGGGCAACGACAGGATGTAGGGACAACTCAAATAGAAGAAACATGGCCTATGTCAGTTCCCCTCCCGCTCCGAACCGTTCCGAGCGATGTAGATGAAGTGTTATTCCTCCACGTCAAAACGGCTGCTATTGTACCGCACGCTTACACAACTATTCCCACCGACCCATAGCCTGTGGCTTGATACCTGGTACGACCGTAATTCTTCGGCAAATTCGACGACCGTACTCGCGAGCGAAAATCTCTCATGAATTTTGGTTACGACCCCGCCAGTCAGTGAAAGTCTCTCGAGAATTTCAATCGAAGTAACCTTAATTAGAAAACCATCGTTTTCACACGACTGTAGCGCTCTTCATACTTGACATGCTCTTTAACCCTTTACCTATGTCGAGCGTGACTCGACATCAGTTTTATTCACAAACGTGCCCCTTCGTCAAGATATTTTTCAAATAGATTCTATTATTATGGGATAGAATAATGAATAAAGGAAGCTCAAACGATTTATGGTAGAATAAATTCATACTATTTAATCTCTTACCGTTTCAGTGTAGGAATACGTCGATCAAAATGACATTGTGAAATTATACTTATAATGATCTCCGTATAATTTGGAACACAACAATTTCGTGTGATACTGGTTTTGCCTTAACAATTTTCGAGAATTGAAATAAGAAGCTCACAACTCTGCACGTCTCTGTATTATGAGCTTGGTTAAGAGAGATAGAATTTGGGTAGTTATTATGAACTACCCAACAGGTCAAAATCACACATTCCTGATTTCTTCTTTTTGCAGTTATTGAAAAGATATTATCAATCATTCACCCGAAAAACGACGAGACTGTTCACTCAATCTAAAATGAATGCAGCATGCACTTTCCTTGTGAGTTATACTTGTTCGATCAACCAGAAACTTCTCTCGCTATTTTTCAACTGTGGAATTGTATCGTGATACAAAAATAAGTGATACAAGTAAATGAATACTCTGACAAGTGGCAGATAATCGTAACACGAAGTACATGATGTAGGTACAGTTTAATAAAGTTTAATTCAATAATTTGATACCCTTTTTTAATCTCCTAATTCTCCTTTTATTTTCTGTTCTAAATTATATATATATATATATATATATATATATATATAGAGAGAGAGAGTAAGTCGTTTTAATGATGTGGTACCATCAAATGGGCATCGTGATTAATTATACTAAAACCGAGCTAATCTCAGTGTACAATATCATCCCGTAATTGGTCATTTGACGCTTATATGCGGTTTCAACGTGGCCGTGATTATAGTACTACCAGTGGAATATGTCATCGATACTACACTGTTATAATGTTCCACTCTATTTCAGTGCACTACATACACATGATTCTCAGTGGACCGTGTTGCAAATTTTTCTAATAGAAAACAACATTCATGGAGATCAAGGGCTATTAATCTCTACTTGATTCTTATATCGCAAAATAGGTTTAATAACAAGATAAACAAATAATATTATCTGTTTATCTTATTTTTATTGTCAAATTGTTGAAACTTTCATCATTTTATTATTATTATTATTACATTATTAACGCTCTGAAAAGTAATAATTAAAACTGTGACGAATTACCTTTCGCTTTTTCTATTTCTCCTTCGATTTTTCATTTATTACTTTTCAGAGCTTTAAAACATTTCTGACAAATCAATGAAAGGTGCAGCAGCCAATCCATCACATTCATATATTTTTCTTGTCTCACCGAAATGACATATGATGGGAGTAATCGAATATTTTCATATTTACTGATATTCCCTCGCGACAAAACCAAATGGTACTAGCATCAGTTCATTTTAATTCAATATCAATTTTCTTCTTATAATTGTTCTCTAGTAATTTCTTTGCTCCGGTCATCGGTGATCATACCAATCCAATTTTTCTCTTTTCAATTTCCAACGTGGACCACTTTTGTAATTGCCAACGCACACGTAAGCGTAAACACCAACATACGTAAATGGAATGAAAGCTTCATCGATCATTACTGTGCGAAGTTTAAATTTGTAATCTGTCTCGTTTACACGCAGATGGAATGCATAAAAACTGCAGGCTGGTCGCAAGTATATTCAGTTTCGGAAGGATTAAGAGTGCTGTCTGCAAGAACTTTCTGCAGTAGAACCAGGTGAACAAAGCCCACGTGTTATGCATGTGACAGCTCTCCTGTAGGAACTAATAAAGCCTGCAACAACAATCTCTCTCAGTTACCTTGCCGGAAAGAGATTTTTTCATTTGCGAAACAAACTTTGTACACAAAGTGAACCGGGGGTAGATCCATCACAATTTACCCGAATCGCGCTGCAACATCCTGTCGTTGATTTGCATAAAAGATTATTCGATGCGCCGCCATAGTTCCATTCAGATCAAGTGTGTTCTACCAGCGATCGTTAGACTGAGAGGTCTTTACACAGTTATGGCGTGTGCAAATTTTTCAAATAGCAAACAGACATTCGTGATTAATGACTATCAATTCTTACTCGATTCTCGTTGTAGAGAGTCTTTTCAATCGAATGAATGCTTCCATTATTCTAGTTTCTGTGAAATCTGTAATATTTGCGATGCGTATTACCAATAGTACTGTTTAGAAGCTTGTATAGACAATACCTAGTACGATTGAATAAATAAAAATGAAATGTTTATTGCAGACTGTCGGAAACATTAAAAAATGCGTGAACTTCGGAATATTCGTTGTTTGTTCTATCAATCGATAACAGTTTTGTTTTGTTTCGCACCGTTTCTGTATCCCTCTGAATCAGTTAAAATGTGATTTATCCGTTTCAAAATATCTGTCTCTCTTGATACGATTCATTAAATAATCGACCAGTTGTAACTGCTACAAAGAGGCAGAGAATAATCTATTGTTACAATTTTCATAGGAATTACATATTACTCTTTTATAAACGAATATCTACATTTCAGTGCGAAACTTTTATATTTAGAAGACTAAATCTCAAACACGTGGATTAATCATTCAAAGAGTAATAAATCAGCACATAGTTTCTTTTCTCTATTAATTAACACTATTTCTACCGAAACTGTCAAAGAACACCTCTCGAATTTTGAACTTAAAATTATTTTCCGAGTTTAGTCGTATATTCTCAATTGACTTTCCGACTTCTTCACTAGCAATTATAAAATTAACCTCTTAGGCACGACGCGCCACTACAGTGGCTTTCGCGATCACCCATTTAGACTATCCGCAAAACATCTTCCATCGTATTGTAAGTCCAAAACATCTAAAACAGCGTTACGAAATTGTATCGTATGTTCAAAGAACGATATAAGACGAAGATCGCGCTATGAGTGTGAAGATTGTGACGTAGGTTTATGTGTCCTACCGCGCTTTAAAATATATCATACCCAATTGTATTATTAATTATTAAAGTAAATTATTAAAGTTAAATTATGTGTATCATATCTTTAAGAAAAATTATAATTTAATCATTAAAAACTTCGTTCCAATGTACTCGCGTAGAGAACAGCATTGTCTGTCACACATTGTAGTGCTGTATCGTTTACACGTAATTCGTGTTGAACTCTGCCGTACAGAGAAACAGCCCCGCGCAAAATTCTGCCGTGCCTAAGAGGTTAACTATAGGAAATGTCCAAAATTCAGCTGAGAAAGTCATTTTGAGTTAAATTTTCGAAATTGACACCTTCGGTAGAGATAGTGTTAACCCATTTGCATCGTACGACAAAGTGGAAAATTTGTTCTCACGGCCACAAACGTTTCAATTGCATCAAGATAAAAATGGTTCAAAACGTATAAGAAAGTAAAAACCTGTATAGACACATGGTAATCATTGCACTCATAAAACGCATCGTTCCTTTTTTTTTGCGATATACAAATTACACAACGGTGGCGCGCATATATGCGCTCACGAGGCAAACGAGTTAAGCAACTGATATATAATTTAACTTCACCTGTTAGAAGTTTCGCATATTTCAAAGAATCTTCGTCCGCAAACGGTTAATTGCATTAAATTCTCTATAGTTCTAGTGTTAAGAAAATACATCGTTCCATCTCGGACATTAGCAGGTTCCTCGATTAATGGAAATTTCGATTAGACCTGAACTTTGCCGTGAATGAATTCTCGAAAATCAGTATCTGCATTAACGTTCTTCGATTTATAGATTACCGATACCGTAGCTCGCGCGGCGGCGGAACGAAGCCGAAATAAATCACGCGTTTATTCGACGTCATCGGGAATCTCTGGCGTCGCCATTGGTACGGTTGAGTGCAGCGCGCGACGACAATCGCTCGCAGTCACTCGACGTCTACTCGACGTCACGCAATAATCACCGGAATAATTCGAAATGCGTGCGGGACTGATGAACGCCCACTACGAAAATTTTTCGTCTGCTCTTCTTATTCAGCACGATGCATACTCGAACGAGGACCGCTGACACCTGCCAATTAATATCGCGCGTATAAATCACGGTTCAGCGTCAACCGCAGGCGATCGAACTATTAAGTAGATCAATTTCAATGTTCTAACGCATCAGTCGATAACATTTGGTCGTGCTTGCTTTCGTCGTTTTTGTTATTATTAATTTCGTGGGATTCAATCGATTCTGGTTTCTGAAGAACAATGCATTAGGGAAGTTCCGTCCGATAATGTCGTCCCGAGTTTCCGAAGATGAGACGTTCTACAGAAACGGAATCCAGGGATTGTCATGCTGGAAGTAGGTCATTACTAACGATGGGAATTATACTGTTCAGTAAATATTAACCTAAATATCTTGTAAAATGAGGAACAGGAGTATTTTATTTCGATGTTCCATGTGTTGATGGATTATATAAAGTTGAGTATTAAATTTTGAATATTGTAATTTGCTGGGTCAAATTAAATGATGAAACACATCTACCGAGTAAGGGTTCATATCTTGAATAGTTTAAATTTAAAGCATAAATGTTGAACTCGTCGGAAAATAGATATTAAATGTGATATCAAAATATTTTCGTTATTGATCGATAGAACCAATCATTCTGTTCATAGAAAGATTATATTTAGTGCATCTTTAACCCTTTGCGAACGAATGTCGAATGTTCGTATTTGGAAGACTAAGTTGCAAACAAATGATTTAATTACTCAAACAGCAAGAGATCAGCTTCCTTCTTTTCTATTACTGAACTCTTTGCACTCGAGAGTTTCTCGCTGGAAATATTCCACATTTTCTAATGGGATCGGGGCAATAGTTTAGAAACTTACTTAAAGAACACATGAACCAAAGAACAAAGCTTTCATTTCAATATTCCCCATATTGATGCATTACAGAAAGATTAATGTTAAATATCAAACTTTAAAATTTTCGAATCAAGTGGTGACTATGGGTCACTTCTCAACTGCAAGAAGTTAAGCAATTGATATATAATTCAGCTCCATCTGCTGAAAGTTCACCATATTCCAAATAATCTTCCTCCTCAAAGTTTAAACTACAATATATATTTCGCATTTCGATTCCAACGTTACATAAAAAATGAAACACAATTCACTCGCACAAAATGTCTAACTTCAAACTAAAAATCACTGTATACCAAGATCTACTTATCAACACATAGGTAACCTCTAATTTCCCTTACGCGAAGAGTCAAATTTCACGGCGTCCAGAACCGGTCGCACCGTACACCATAAAAACAAAACGCATTTCGAACAGAGAATCTCACCTATGACACCAATAATTTTGTGGTGGATTTGAAAATGATAGGCTCCCGTAGGTCCAGGGGCGGCAGAAAAATAGCGGGTGCGAGGTAAACCCGTGAAAAATGCCATGGAAGAAACGAGCGAGAATATTGTCACGTGGACGCACTTACCCGCGCGAAGGTCTTCCATTTTTCCTCGAGTAATCGCTGAATAATACCACCGTCCAGCATGTTCAAGTGCTCCTCCTTCGTACCGTTGAGAATGATAAATAGCGCGGAGTTCCAGTCTGAAATAGAAATTCGTAGAGGACCATTTACGGTTAATGGAACATCACTTTGGGGGTTCTAACGCTGCGATAATTATGGGTTTTGCATTAGCGTGGCCGACGTGCTATATATATATATATAGGTATATATACGGGGTGTTCCGCGACTCATGGTCAATCAAGTAGGAGGTCATTCTACATGTAAAAATGAACCGAAAAGAAAGAATAAAATTTGTTCCTGCGAGCCTTCGTTTTTGAGAAAATCGAGATCAAAAATTTACTTGATACGTGTACACTCGGTACATGTCGACTTTGTGCATCTGACTATACACTCTTGTTTTGATTCTTATTTGTATTCAAAAACATAGTAATGACCTCGGTTGATAGTTTATCGTTCGTGCTGTTCTATTAGCGGTATAATTATTCAGCATCTACCAGTTTCTCAATATGGCAGCTTATTCGAATAGTGAGTACACGGATATGATTCTCGCACTGGGAGCGTGAGAGGGCAGTTTTAGTGCCGCTTCGCGTTTGTATTAAGAGCGGTATTCGCACTTTATCATTGCTATGTCTTTAAATACAAATAAGAATCAAAACAAGAGTGTATAGTGAGATACACAAAGTCGCCATGTACCGAGTGTACAGATACCGAGTAAATTTTCGATCTCGATTTTCTTGAAAACGAAGACTCGCAGGGATAAATTTTATTCTATTTTTCGACTCATTTTTACATGTAATCGCGGGACACCCTGTATATATAGGTATATATAGATATATATGTATATAGATATATATTAAATGCGGTAGATCCGTTCTCGAAGGTTTTTCTGTAACCGCGCCACGTGCGACGCTAAACTTTCTTGCATGTGAAGATAAAACTTTCCGGTAACTTCCGCGCACGAAGAATTCCGGGGAATCGTTAATCCGGTTGCCAAACTTGCCGGCGAGCGAGCCGAAGTCAGCTAATGTTAGTTCGATGCGGTGTTTGAATTTTGCTGGACCCATAAACGCGGGTACTAAAGGGTTTTAGAAAGTATGACTAATGTAAAACGGGATGAAGTTCGGCCGTTGCTCCACGGCCCGCGATGGAGCACAATTCACGCGGGCGAAAGGGATGAAAATCATACGTGCCACCCGCACGCGCGCGATTTTCGGCGAAACGTTGCTCGGCTAACGTGTTCCAACTTGGAGATGTAGGAATGATCGATGGAATTGTGTTGGGTACCGATTAATGATACGGATCATTTTATCTCACTGTACATAGAAAATTAGATATATTGTTACGTGATATTGTGGTAATTAGTAAAGATGCATAGCTAAGTGTCTTTATATAAATACGAGATTTCTCGTTACCAGTATGCAATATGTTAACTTAGAATTACTTTACAAGTTTAGTCATGTATTCAGAATTCACTTTCCGACTTTTGCAATGATGAATATAAAGTTAACTATAGGACATGTCAAAAATTCAATCGAGGGCAAATGATGAAACTGAGAAAACGATTATTAAAATTTCGAAAAGTTTTATATTAACCCTTTGCAGTCGAGAGGTGACTCACCACTTAATTCGATATAAGAAACCTATAAAATATTATATATAACATTCCATTTTGCAGAATGCGTCAGTATGATCAAAATAAAATAGCTTTTCTCGAGATCTCTTTGACTTAGATCCAAAAGACGTCGTGTTCGTCTCATCAGAAAATATAAAAATATTCCTAATGACAAACTTCCGAGTGCAAAGGGCAAATAATCATCAGTCGCGTCGTTAGACGGTTACAAGGGATCGAAGGGCATGATGAGAAGGAGGCTCGAACACCGGGTCGTTCGGAAAGACAGAATCGAATGGAAGTTTTTGGACGGTTCGACGGGAACCGGGGGTATATTCGTTGCAATTTTGCTTGCATATCTGAAATTCAATTTTCCGGGCAAAAGCTGTCGGGGAAGTTTCCATCAATGCCGCCGCAGACCGGAGAGAGAAGAATGGAGATTGACAACAGAGACGCGCGGTCCGTTAAAATGTTTCCTTGAAAATATCTAACGGAACCGCTAACTTCCGTGACGCTTTAAGTCACCATGAAAGCAGCTTTGCTCGGCTCGCCGGGTGATTAAAGAGTCTGAGCACATGATCGACCAGGACCCGTCGCCTTGGTATTTGTCGCGGTGCCATCCCGAGCGTCTGCGACTGGAAAATCGAATTGATCGGCGCAACTTTCCGAAAGCCCCGAAACGAATCCTTAATATTTCACGGCGAAGTCGGCCGAACAAACTTCGACAATCAATACGGATGACACCGTTACAGGTTTCGCCGATGGTTTTTTTTTTCATATTTCTCGGACATTTCAATGTTCCGAGTATAGACAGGAATCGAGGCCGAATATAGAGAAGAAAAGAAAGTGTTGCATTCTACTCTACTAAGCAGCTCGAATATTTATAACTATTATTACTATTATTATTATTACTTTTCATGGCATCTTTCTACTGTTTCAGTCTCTCTAGGGTAGAGAAGATGACATCCTTTTGTGTTTTTTCTTTTTTCTTTTCTTGTTTCTCAATCGACGAGCATGAAATAAGGATTTAAGAACGTTGCAGTAGATGAACTTTGTCTAAGAAGAGTAAAAAGAGATAAATTCCGTAATTCACAAGTATAGGAACAGAGAAATAAATAACCATCTAGCTAATTTAATGTTGTCATTGTACTTTTTTATACACCCCATTGTGTAAAACTGTAATCCTTGCCATCTTCGAGTAATCCTTGCATTTCGTGTTTATAATTGAAGTTTGGAGATCGCTTGTATTAACCCTTTGCACTCACTCGCCACTTGATTTTATATAGTATATAAAATGAGAGATATTCAAATAAAATAGTTCCTCAACGTACGTCTGATTTCTCGTCGAGATAGTTTCACAAAATATCGTCTTTATCTCATTACAAAATCTTCAAATATTTCTACTGAGAAACTTTCTTCATCCCTTAATTCACTCTCACAAATATACAGCATTTTCTTAGATACCAATAGTACTCCCGACGTCAGAGTTCTTCCAAAACCAGCAATCCCTATTCAACCGTTATCAAAACCACCGAAGCGTGTTCTTCTGAACACGGCTAATTACCGTAGTTTCGAAGTAATACATATTACAATGCACCATAAATGACCCGGTATCTGGGTTCCGCTCCGCTGCTAAGCGATAGGTCGTTCAAGGGTTAATAAACCGCGCAAATTTCTTTTCGATTCGACTCCCGGGTAAATAACTGCAGGGAAATTCACGTTCGCGGCTCAAGTTCCCATTCCATCGTAGGAAAAACTGATCTCCGACCGATCTTCGATTGAACCCGGCGCACTTCTTGGCCGGTCAGCGGGAAAACCGAGATTTCCACGCGCTGCGGACTTACTAATACGCGGCCGTTACCGCAACTCGTAATTATATCTAACTCCCGGCCAGAGCAGCGAGAAGTTTTCCCTGACAATTCTGCGCCCTTCTCTCGGTAATGCCGGATTGACGCGAACGCGAGTCCGCAAAAACGGACGTTCCGACTGAAATTGAATAACGATCCGCCTTCGGCCGCTGGCCGCCAGCCCGTTTACCGCTGATAATCAACCCTAAGTGCTGTGCTCAGATAATTATTAACGTTTTAGCAGCGAATGCCATCCATATTCCCCGTAATCGATTTAAGCTATCTTTCCCCGGGCTAATTCGATCAGGGAATATCAAAAGTCGATCGACGGCCGATGTAATAGAGCGGCAGATTATATCAGGAACCTCTGTCCTCATAAACGCACACACTCGATCGACTTTCATTGGATCTCGGCACAAAGGGGCGTTAGAAATTTCATTGACCAATTCTGTCGCGACGGTGAGCGCCCGTTTCGATTTTTTTCCTTCTCTCTCTCCTCACCCCGTGACCGACGATACCGCACCCTGCGATATTATTCTCCCGAACGGCTCTTATCTTTTATTATCGTCGACTCGACGGATTCCGGGAATCTCGATCGGGACTGTTCAAAGGATTCTCTTTGCTTTGACTGTGGGAAATCGGCAGTTTCCGAGTTTCTTCTTGGAGGCGGGTAATGAACATATCCGAGGTTCCAACGGTTTAACCCTTTGCATTCCGAATTTCTTGTATTTTTTCCTTGGTAACTCTGTATTATTGCGATATTTTCTTTGAAATGCATTTAAATTAATAGTTCTTACTAATGATATTGAAAACAATAGAATAGTATAAACGATTTGATAAATATCTTGACAAAGAGGCATACCTGTGAATGAAACAAGCGAAGGGTTGACACTGAAACTAACGAGCAGTGAAATTGATTATTTCGTTTCCTTATGAAATTAGTAAAGATACGTTTATTGAGTTTCCAAGTTGTTTGTATTCGTCAGAATCGATTTATTGAATGATCTCTCAAAATATCGTCTGTGCCTTTTCCATAATTGCGAAAGAAAAGTCATTTAGATAGATCATTTTGGGTAGTTCTAGTGTTAAACGGGTTTGGAGCGGTATGAATAAACGGGTAGGTTGATGAATTATTTTGTTCAGTATCGATTCTGTTCTAATTTAGTGTTGAATGAACGTGTCTGCGAATTCGATGTAAATAAAATCTGTTCCAGATTTGTGAACTATAGAAGACTCTGGACTATTTTAATCGTTTCATTTTCCAGTTCTAAGAAATAAGTAATATATAAGAAATAATAAAATAAAGAAAATAAGAATGAATAATTAGAAGGAAAAGAAACAAACAAGCTTCATCTAATTCTACGAACCGATAAACTGACACTTTTAGGTAGTGCAACGGAGAACCGCCATCGCGCTGCTCGGGACTCAAACGGTTAAACAGTAAAAAAGACGTTCTCCTTTAAAACTTCTAATTTGGTAAGGACATTTATGTACTCTGTACTTGAAGTATACAAGTGTACGAGAACATAGGAAGAAATTTCGATTTTTTTGAAGGGAAAGAGTAGAGAGACTCCTTAGCGCAGTGTTTCTTTGAAAGGAAACAGAAAAAAGTAAAGCAGCCCGG